ATTGTAATATTTGGGAATATGTTAATGTACATGTTTGACAATCTCCATTGTCATTATCGAAATACTAATTTAGATCACAATGAGACTTTGATTCCATTATTATGACTCTTGTTGTACTTTAACAACTTGAAATCATTTATTGGTTTATTAAACCAATGATCCAAATATCTTTTCTTTTTGCAGCCTATACAAAAAGTTTATATCCTATTATAGATATAATCATGCAGTTATCTCTTGTTTTGAAATCAGTTCAATACAACTACCCAATCATGACTTTATGTCACTTTTAACATTCTCTCTATGTTAAACCTCTTTAACATGTCATCCTAAATTCTTTTGTTAAGTCCCCTTTTAGGCTCTAATTCTTTAATCCCATTTTGTTTTTCTTAGACTAAAATATATATCTTATACACTTTTAATAAATAACTTATCTTACTCCCGCTAACCTTATGTTGTGCACAAATATATGCTTATCTTATTCAATGTTTTCAACTATTTTGAATTTATTACATTGATTAGAGATTATTATCCAATCTTTCATGTTGGATTATTTAGTAGACTCATCTTATGTAGTGCATCAATATGCATCCTACTAATGGTTTGTCTTTAATGGATGAATTTTTCATCTTTATGCATCCCATCAAATCAATCTTTATGCATAAATATTATCTATTAGAGTTTATAATTTCATGACTTTGACCTTTACAGTATCATTAGCTCTCACTATTTTTATCATGTATAGAAATCTTACAAAGTATACTTACATGCCATTAGTCATTCATCATTGGTTATGGGATGAAATCCTCTCAAAAGTTAGTTCATGCGATTAATTGGGTTTGGAATGCTTTGTAATTCATCTCTTATGAATTCAATATCATAATAAATTGTTATTTACTTTTAAGCAATCTTAATTTAGATATTTTCTCTCAATAAGAATGCTCTTTAACAAAATATGTTCATAATCTTATTATGAATTCATTGAGTCAGGACTCAATTTTATCTATATCAACTCATTACTTTCCTTTTCGATTCATAATCAAAAGAAAAATAATCTCACAATAATCTTATCATTTTGACTTAGTATTGATTATCATATATGTAAGCTTATACTTAAGAATAAATAATTTAGAACAATTCCAAAATAAAATGAGATGTAATGTAAATATATAAATATATATATGTTAAGCATCTCATGTGAGCAAAATATAAATCTCTGTTTCTTAAACATAAAATAAAATATTCAGCCGTAGGCCAAAAACTAAAACATATCATCTTGACAATCATGTCATGAAAACATTTAATGTTCTAAAATTATATGCTTTTCTTGATTTGTTTTTCCATTCTTCTGTACCCCATATCGTATCGATAAGGGCATCCTAGATTTCATTTGTGATCCATTCCCTTGACATGCCTTTGCAATCCTTAATGTTGGTTGTTTTGGCTTCTATCATTGCTTTATTCCATTCTTTTGAAAGCGTGCCTCCTAACCGATCGGGACAAATTTTATCCCATATTCGTTGAACCAAAACATCTTTATTTGTAGGTCAAACACATTTTTCCTACATCAAAAATAATAGAGTAACTAAAACAATTGATTCAAATTAATTGAAGACAAAAAGTTATAATTTAATTGAATAACAAATATAGTACTTGAAATTTTTGAAACATTAACTACTTTATGTCACTAGAGACTTTCCTCCTTGTCGACCATGGACCATGGAAGTGAATTTTTATGATCGTTGTTATTGTAGTCGTGACCCCTCACTCGAAAAAAGTACTTGTACAAGATAAAAGAAAATTATTACACATTAAAATATATAACAAATATAACTATTTCATTATAATACAAGATAACATACCTCTCTCCAATAATAGTTATACGCAATCTTTTGGATGGATCTACAAGAGTCTATAATCCTACACTAGGCCCCTACCCCTTGACCTTAAGGATGTATCATCTACACTTGCACCTAAATCAATAGATATGGATCTATGAAAATCATGAGTAGATGTCTCATTATCTACTTGCTCTATAGATGCACCCAACAAAGAGGGTGGCTTAGAGGGCACATCATTATTGACCTGCTGCATCTATGGTTGAATGGATGGATCAGCAAATGCACTAGCTTTTGTAGGCAACGGCATAATTCCGGAGGCATTTGTTGATCTAGGTCTTGATTTTGAATGCTTCCCTTTAACCATTGTTCTTGTAATATTTTTTCGTTAAAATTCATACAGAAATTAAAAAAAAATGAAACAAATTATAAAAGTCATCAATTTACAACAATCAAGAGTAATTCCTAATCATTTGTACAATAAAAGATGCCATTATAAAGTATTTATTTCAACAATTCAAAATATAAAATATAATAATGTTATAACATGCCAAGATCTTTCAATATTATAAAATTAAAATTAAACAACTATGTAACAAAAATTATAAAACCAATATCATATATGTCTACCACCATCAATCACTTTCAGAATAAGCAAACTCATGTTCTTCATTATTATCACTATCATCAGTAAAAGCTACTTCGTCTTCATCTTCATCTTTATTCTCATCTCCTTGCATGTCATCTTCATCATCCTCAATCAAGAGATTAACCTCCACTTGCTAAAATTGTTGAGTTATTAAGTTCTTTTGATGGAGTAACATTAATTGAAATAGGCACATCTTCTTAGTATACTTCTTCATTCAAATCAATTTCGTTTTCTCTATCTCCACTACTAGGAGTGTGAAATCTACTCCTAGCTATTGTTTTAAATACTACCCACCAATCACGTCAATCTTTTTTGGTTGATGGATAACTACTATAATAAACTTAGTGAGCTTGTCCAGTTAAAACAAATGGTTCATTAGTGGCAAGTATTAAGTTGTGTTTAATTTCAACAAGACCATGAAAAGGGTATACCTTAATACCTTTTTTAGTGTCAAACCAATGACACTTAAATAGCACAACTCTATTTTCGATACCAAAATACTCCAACTCGATTATATTCACTAAAATACCATAAAAGTCATGCTTATAATCATTGTAAAAACTCCCTTTTATGCATACCCCAATATTCATTATCTTACAATTTTGTCCGTAATCTAGGATCTGAAACTAGAAACCATTTACAAAGTATCCTTTGTAACACCTTATCATACATCTTGGACCATGAGAGATTTGAAGTATACATGGGTCAATTTCATCCTTATGTTTTGCAACTTACAAACATGGAATGCAAGACCAAAAATGATTAATTACATAATTAATGCATATTTGTTATTAAAAGTTCACTTCTAATTTACATAAACTTACATAATTTTTAAACCATTTCACGAATCTTGCATCACGTACTTTCTCCAATTCATCTTTCGATATATGCACAACATCTCTCTTCACCATTTTATCAAATATCCACTATCATCATATCCACAATTTACAAATTAAGTTCATTCTTATGATCAATCATTTCAGTTTATGCTAAAATGGTACTTACTTAATATGTGGAGAATGTCTTCACAATTCATTAAAACATATAGCTCAGCAACATAAAACTCATCCTCACCTAAAATCGAGATTTATCTAATGGACCAAAAGCTTGCCCAAGATGAGTGAAAATTGAACGATGACCAAGAAAGTCCATGTCTCCCCCATCATCATTACATGGCACTTGATTTAATCTTATTCGCATAGTAGGTTCAAAATACCATAAGCAAAAGAAGGAGATTTTCTCAATCATATAAGCCTCACATATAGATCTTTCAACAAAGGCTCTATTTTTTACTTTCTTCTTCCAATGTTGCAAAAACCTAAAAATCACAATATTCATAAAACTTAATAAGTACCTTAAACTCTTCTAATAAACTATTTGAAAAC